ACTGTTATCTATATTACCAACATAGAAAAATTAAAATTAAAACTAATTGTTATTTATATTATCAATGTAGAAAAATAAGAATTAACAAATATAACTTTCTACATTATTAATATAGAAAAATGAGAGGTAAAAATGGGATTCTCTATATTGCCAAAATAGAAAAACAAGAAATAAAAATGGAAATTTTCATACTACAGTATAGAAAAATGAAAAATAATGAATAAGATTTTATATAATATCAAATATAGCGCAAATGTTGACTGTACTTGTTCTAAAATAAGACTGAAGTTTATGTGCAAAAAAAAGAAGCAAAGTAGCCGATCAGACTGATCATTTCCATGTGTATAAGAAATATTTGAGAAGTTTGGTTTAATTGAAATAAATCTATAGTGTTAATAAGCATTTCATATAGCTCTATGCCATCATCTATAAGTAGAACACAAAATTACCTACTAAATTTTTATGTCTCACAATCTCTTTGATTTAGAAAGCAGAAAGTGTTGTTTTGATTCTGCTTCTCATCTTCGAGTTGTTTAACACATAATTAAAGGTCTCATACCGTTTTACACGTATTTGTTTTTTGTCGATCCAAGAAAAGAAATAGTACTAAAATGTACTTTCTTCCAATTGCACTGAGACATTAAACATATCAAAAATACATGACATTACATGTAATAAAAATGAAAATTGATTAAATAGTATTAAATTTAATCAAGATCTCGATTATTGCTACATTCTTCATAGATAAATTAAAAAGGATGAAATTATTTCAATTATTTTTAGGAAGTTTATAAAACTGCATGACATTTTTTATTAATTTCATCGGTTCTGTAACTGTCCATTCAAGATATAATCATAGAACTATTGTTTCTAGTCTAAAGCTCAACGCAGTATCAATATAAATCTTTAGAAAATTCTAGACAAACAAAAAAAACTTTCTTCTAAGATTTAACCAGTGCAGAATGCGATACAATAACAATTTGAAGAAGAAATCTTCACACTTATTGCTATTGAGAATAGCTAAAATCATGATGGAATCTTTTACGATCGTTTTTTTGTGAGAATCCTCAAAAATTTACACCTATTGAATAGCCTACAAAACAAAAACTTGCAAAGATTTTAGATCAAGGTTTCGATAGGAGATTCGTATTGTCTTGTAAAGAAGCGAAAATATTTAATTGTAGAAAGATCGAAATCGATCCTTGATCGAAACTACTATTGTTTAAAAAACCGTGTTTCATACACCCACACTCTATTAAGTTGAAAATTTGTAATACATTAGAAATGAATTCAAAATAAAAGATTTGATTGATTCGTATATAGATCATTGTTTGTCCTACAACGTAGAATAATGAACATGACAGATTTTTCAAATATTCTTGAACTTGGGAAAGATTTGTTTTTGAGTTCTTCTTATCTACTAAAATTTGAACTTACGTATTTTTTTATCTAAACTTATCTTATTTAGTACTTCGATTAGTCTTTCTACAAACTACTTCTTTGTTTGAGATTCAGGAATAAATTACTCGATAATAAGTATGATGCAAAATTCATGGCATAAAATACTTTCGAACGGTGTATAATTTATATTTGTCACACATTCGTCAATGGAATAAGAAAGAAAAATACTTACACAAAAAATTTGTAATTTTTTTATATGAATCAGTCAAAAACGTCTTATGCATTGTAGTTAAGTATAATTAACTATCGTTATTATCTAGCAAGATGTTTTTAATGAATTCATATAAAAGTTGCAAATTTATTTTGTCTCATTTCACTCAGAAATGTGTGACGAACATCAATCATACACCATTTACTATCAACTGATAACAAAATTGTTTTTCCTTACGTTCAAATTCTATTATAACTCATTTTATTGTAAAATCCAAACAAAAAAATGAAATGATTTTTAAAATGATGACATGCAAAATCTAAATATATTTCAAAACTTGAACTAACACAATCAATGAATATGTTGGAAAAATTCGATAGAAAAGAAAATTTCATTCACGATAAAAATTCGAGTTCATCGGAATTTTTCACATTACCAGTTAAATCTTAGTTAGTTTTAGTCAAACTAAAGATTCTTACATAAAATATTTGAAAAAAATCAACAATGTTTTGTTTTCAACATTGAGAAAAGTCAGATTCTAATCAAGTTCATAAGTAAAAAACTTTTGTAATTGAGAGCAGTTCAATATTGTTTAAAACAAATGAGAAGAACTCATTTCAATGACATTGATATTTATTTTTACTTCATACTTTTGTTTCATTTCAGTACCAATGCGTGCAAGTTCCATTGATATTCATCCAAATGCAAAATGGGCACAGAATGGTATCACTGTTGCTGGAGGAAATGGATGGGGTAGTAAAACCAATCAACTCGATCGTCCATTTGGTTTGTACGTCGACGATGATCAAACGATTTATATCGCTGATTGGGGAAATCATCGTATTGTGGAATGGAAATCTGGTGCAACGAATGGAAAAGTAGTTGATGGTGGAAATGGATATGGAAGTGGAGCTCATCAGTTAAACAACCCAATAGATGTGATTATCGACAAAGAGAGCGATAGTCTCATCATAAGCGATAGAG